AATTAATAATAGTTTTCTTGTGTGTGTGTGTGTGTGTGTGTGTGTGTGTGTGTGTGTGCATTTGTGTATATGTATGTATCTTGGGCATTTTCACAAGTTTCATCACAATAAAAAAAAAATAATACAACAAATCTTATGCAACATTTTGAAATCTGAAAATTACAATTGTGAACACAAAGACACAGTATTCTGAAGATTTCTTTCTTCAATAAATTGCTCAACTTACATTTCAGTCATATCATAACTGTTCAGAATTTTTGTAAAAGTGAAATTACTTTTCACTGTTAAGGTAAATTAATTTCCATGGTAAGAGGTATTTCCATTTATTTTTAAATCTTCTAAACAGGAGACATGGCAAACATCTTGTTTAGTTAAATTTGTGACACATTTCCAGCAAATTACACAAGCACAAGGTTAAAGGGTTAAAACTTAGACAATATAAAAACTTGAACCATAAATTATGTTTTAACACTATGTTTATTGACATATATTGCTAATAAAGTACCTTAATTAAATTTTGAGCATAACATTGTAAAAATATCTTGACATTCACATTTTGAACCCACCCCACCTCCACACTCATATTCAGAGCATTTAAAAAGAAACAAACAGATCAATGAAAAAAAGCACTTCCCTGTATAAAAAAAAATCTTAAATTGAACCCAACAATGGAATAAAATTCCATTTTTTTGCAGGTATGAAAAACTGGTAACCTGTTCAACATAAATTTGTGACATTTGATCTAAGTAAACCTAATAATTTAGGTCTAGACATGTAACCAAATACTGTTCAAGGTAAGGCTATCTAGCTCACAGAACTTGCAAATTTATGTAGCAAACAATATTTATGAACAAATACCTAACTGACTATCAATCCAACAGTCTCTAATCTCATAAGTTACCCAATAAGATTTCATTACAATTTCTCTCCTACTTTTCACAAGGTTACTAGCCTAAAAGTTGAGAAACATTCTCATTTTGAATATTTCATAAAACTAGGATTAATCAATGTTTATGCTATTAATACACTATCTTAATCAAGAACACTACACAAACATATCAAAAATTTAATCAAAGACTTCTTGAAAGTTAACAAAAATTATAAAAACTGACAATACAAGATGTTATAACACAGCATCAAGAATCAGAAAAACATTTATTACATTATAAAATGACAAAGAAATGAGAGAATACCATTTTTAAACACCATCAGCAATATCAAAATGATAAAAGTTCTGCATATAACATGTCTTCCTGATGAGAAAACTAATGTTCAAAGTAAATACATAAAACAAAAAACAACTTTTTTTAAGAACATATAGTTAAGCTAATCACGGGAGAAAATTCTGACAACTTTTTACGTATACCCACCCTGTTCAGGAGCTACCTCAGGAAGATATGTAGCTGTTCGTTTGGAGCCTTTGTCTGAAGTAAACTCAATACGAATACCATGAATTCCAATCTGTAATATATTAGATTACAAAGTAAAAATAACAAAGCTTTCAGATCAATGATTTTAAGTTATTATAACAGTATACAGGAAGTTTACAAGCCATTTATTGCTGATAGGTAATTTGCTTCCAACAAGCATAACTAACAAGTTTATTCATTCTTCTTTTGTGGTTTAATCTAGTGATAATATTAAACAAGTTTTCATTACACATAAGAATGCAGAATTCTATAAACTATCACTAGCACATTAACTTTTTATTGGTTAAAAAAGTTCAATAACTAAGCTATTAAATCACCAATTCTTCTATGTACACTTGCAAATCAAATGGCTCAAATTATCACTCATTCTATTATCCAAGAGTATTTTTTAAGACTTGAAGGTGGTGGTTTTAGATCCTCCACATTTATGAATTCTCATAATTTTGTTGATCTTTCTTTCCTTGACCTGATTATCATGAATGTTTCTCAACTTTTCTTACATTAAATTTGAGGGTAGGCTGGTAGAGATCCTGATGAGTAATAAAATCAAATCTGGTGTATACATTTCCTACACTTGGTATTGCTGACACACAAAAATATAGCTAATAAAAGGAAAAAATGGTTCCATAGATTAATATACTATAATCCTACTTAAAAGAATTTCAAGTGCCATGGCTATTCAGGATTCTCTCTTGTTTTGATCATATTGTTTTGCTTACATCAGCATAAACAAACAAAAAAAAGTCATTCTTACTGTCGGTATTTTTCCTTCTCACTAACATTTTGAACTGGCAAACAATAACTATGATCTTGTGAATATAGTAACTCTTCTTTCCTTTCTTTTGCTTTCTGGATTCTTTGACTTTAAGATTTTCTGATATTTTCTTTCGTCCTTCAGGTTTCACAAATGTGGTCATGCTTTTCATGACTGTTTTTAGCTTTCTTTGTTCCCTTTTCAGATTTCCAGGTTTTATTGAGATGATTCTATTCTTGGTTGTTTTGTTCATCCTGAAGTGGTATTTTGTTTTGTTTTTTAGGATCATATTTCATATCTGTCCTCCTCAGTGGGAAATTAAATGGCTAGTTTATTGTCTCTCTTGATGTGTTTGACTTTCAATTAGGATTTCTTGACTAAGGATGATATGCAACGTTTCTAGATGTACCTCCAGCAACTGCATATGTCTCCCCCCAAGATTATGATTATTTTATTTTTTTAATGTTTATGTACTTCAACACATGAACCTTATTGTGAATTTTGGCGATGTCTGTCTATTTTTCTTGAATTCATCCTCCTATTGCCCTTTAGTAGCCTTTTTGTAATTTCTGTTATCAGGCTTTTCCATTTACTGATGAGGACTTTGTTATATTTAACCTTTTCCTTTAGACTTGTCTTGTGCCTCTCATTTTAGTTTATTCTGTTAGGCAGGATTAGAATAAATTAATCTATGAGACCTTGGGCATGGTCAAATAAAGCAAAAGGGTTTGACCTCCCGAGTCCAAAATTGTAATTAGATCTCAAATTGGTCAAGAGATGATGGAGATATAAGCTCAAAGATATAAGTACTCTGAGCCATTCTATGAGCTGCTATGCAACAGCTAAAAATTACACTGAATATCAGGATAACTGTTACAAAAACTTTGTTAAGTACATGTTCTGAGCCAGGTCACAGGTGAAAGGCCATGTCATCTTGTTTGTTGACTCACATTCAAAATTTTATTGAACAACTATTTCAATAAGTTTGGTATCAAACTGTAGATTATAATTCAAATTTTAGTACTATACATTACTCAATTTCTTAATTTTGAAGTAAATATAAAAAAAACGTCGATTTTTATGTGTCACATGGTATGGTGAATGCTGCACTTGTTCAAATTAGATGTTTGTGAAGTCAAAATACAAAGTCTATAGTTTTGTACAAATTAGAAACTCAAATTACCAATATTGATAAGCTAGAAAATAAAATAAGAACATCTTATCTTTTATTTTTGCTAAGATATTGCTCATGTAATAAATCAAACGCAGTTGCATCTGACCCACCTCTTTCCATTTTTGGAAACACTCCCATATATATATATATATATGACATGAATAACCAATCAAAAGCTCAGTATGTTCCCCTAGTGGCTTTCTCAGCCATTTTCAAATATAAAGTTGTTATATCTTTCTTTCAATACAAGACATCATAGAGGTAAGTTAAGTCTTTAGTCTGCTCGAAATTTCATATTTTTAAGGCTCAAATACAGCCTTGTTACTAAAATTGATAAATTATAATTGAGTTCTATGGTATCAAAATAGTAATTTATGATTTTTTGATTATACAAATGTATATGTTAAAACCTAAGAAAAAATTATTTTGTTTCATATCCTCCACGTGCAAAAATTTTTAAAGGCTTAGCAACCTATGTCAAGCAGAAACCGAGTACAAAGGTCATAACTAGAAGAGATAATTATTTGCTTTACTTCTTTATTTACTGTTCTATGTTTTAAGAAAAATAAGTTTAAGAACTTATTTCTAAATAGCAATAATCTATATACATATATAACATGTAATAAATGAAATGTGACTGTATTTTACAAAGTACTAGTCTACTAAAACACAGCCAAGACAGATTACTTTGTAAAGACAAAAGGTTAGTTTTATGTTATTGGATACGGTAACATGAGTACACATGTGATTCATCATTGTACCTTCTGTATTGTTAGCCAGACACGGCTGAAAGGCCAATATAATAAAAATAATAAATATATATAAATGTTACCATTTTCCTAAACTGAAAATGTATTTCCAAACATACTTACCTCAGCTGACACTAACAGCTATTTCTCGATCTTCATCTTTGCCATCTAACATATTCGCATGCTCCAGTCTTTATATACCCCACTCGGCTGCCCTTGGCAATATCTAATTTACAAAACTTTATGCCGGCCCTCACACACCCTTTAAGCAGGTATTGTATATAGGCACTGTATGCAGACAATAAAATCACTTTTTCGAGACTTACCACATTCCAGTTACTAACACCACCTCTCAGTGGGGAGGAAGGGAGGGAGAGTGTCAGCAGAGGTAAGTATGTTTGGAAATACATTTTCAGTTTAAGAAAGTGATAACTTCCAAAACATACATACCTCTGCCAGTGAGGACAGAGATCATACAGAAAGTATCCGCAGAGAACAAATATGTACCACAAGAAGTGGTATCAAAGTGGGGAACACCACACTACATCCAGAACAGGTATGCTCTTCACCCAGAACTACAGAAAATTGAACAGAGTGGAATATAATACAATGTAATGTTCCAGTCCTGACCAAACAGTCGAGGTTCCACAACTCAGGTTGGACTTAAGGGGTCATGGTACCCATATTCCATGTTGTTGGCCAGAGCAGTTGGACCATAGATATATACATATTCGTGATAGGATCCCTACCAGTAACCACAGAATGATGCATTTCGAACCCCCGAATTTATGAAAGAAAGAAAGCAACACCAAAATGGACAATCCTTCTGATCAATCTGAAGAAGTCCAAAAGGCAACATCCCAGGTCTGGATTGATGGGATCATACATCATACTCCACCAAAGTCCAGAACTCATCCCATCTGGATTTACTCCCCCACCAAGTGGGCAAGGAGAATTCTGCTTACCCATGGAATTAAGGAGAGGATGTGGAACACTGTCCCACCAAGGACCAAAGATGGGACCACATCAATTTTGGATTTATGAGGAGATAGTGGACCTCTGCATGAACAACATAAGACCTGACAGTGTTCATAAGAGGGCCCAAGCACCCCTCACTGTATAGCTAAGCATAAGATCTGTACTGGTTTTACGAGTACACTCCTGCATAGGATGGTCCTGCTCCTACCAACATCTGGGAAAAACTTCCAGGGACCCAGGTAGGAGGATCCCCAACTTTGCCCTCTTCTCCAAGAGTGGAGAAAATTCAACACTCCAAAGGCAAATCCTCTGTCCACCATCCCAGCATCTGGGAATTGGGTGTGGTAAGAACTCCTGAGCTCCACTAGTAGAAGTAATGGGGGAACATAAGCAATGGGGAGTCCTGAGGAACATGTCTCTGGAGACAGTGCAACAGATGAACCATATTCCCTAATTTTTAAAAGCAAACTGATCTCAACTGATTCAGCTCTAATATCAGCAGGGACTGGCAAAATCTCCTTTAGCTTTACTCATGATAGTTCATGAGTAGCAGTCCATTAGAAATATTGTAATATGATATCATCTTCCAGAATTACGTCCAGATGGTCTTATGGAACACCTCATCTCGACAAAGCCCATTGCAACCAGGAACTGATATAAAGGTTGCTCGTGCAGAATTTAAATACAAGCATACCTGACGGGCCAACACTCGCCACTGAGTGCGATCCAAAAAAATAAATAAATAAGGACCCTAGAAGAGAAAGGAACAATAACTGTAAGTCAGATAACATGTTACTTGCCACCCTGTTAAAATCTAGTAGCCAACACAGCCACAGGAGGAAGATGAAGTCCTTTTGAAGAGCAAATTGCCAGATTGTGAAGGTAATGAGATATGAACATATCGAGAGAAGTCCACCTACTGGCCCTCAAAATATTTCCCGAGAAGAAGGACGGAAATGATTAAGGAGTGGAAGGAGGGGGCCTTGAGACATGAGGGAATGAACATGCAGAAGTACAAGTGGAAGTAGAATAGGGTCGAGCAGCCAAAGATGATAAAGAAGACTGCAAATGTGCTGTATCAAATCTGGCTTCTGAAGATTCTGGAAGTCCAGCAAATAAATAAGGCTGAAGAAAAGGTGCTTCCCATAAATCTTGAAGGGCAGAAGAAGGTAAGTGAATACCCTCCAAAATGCATCATGACTCAACAAGTCTCAAGAACAGACCAACTACAACACCAAGGCAAGTCCTGAAGAGGGCAAACATGTCATAATAGTGACCAGTAAATGGCCCAGTTCTTCATCAAATTGTTGAGGCAATCAGTGATATGCTTCAGACAAAAGCTGAAGGGAAGAGAAGTATCTAAAAAGTATAGTAAG